TAGCCACCTAGTCTCCTGCTGTCCGCCGTGCAAGGCTCCCTCAGGCCGCCAGGACAGAGGCCTGCAGACGGCACCTGCCAGGCTGAAGAGCAGCTGCCGCCCGTGGGCTGGCTGCTTCAGCCCGCGCCGCCCCGGCACCAGCAGCGACCGGCGCTGCCGCACGTCACGGTACACCACTGGCACACCCGGAGCCCCGCCGCTCTCCCCCTGTGCCAGTTGCCGGCAGCAGGGCGCTTGTCCCACACAGGGGTACCCCCGCCCCGGCTCCTTTCGCCGCGGGATCGCGCCGCCGCGGCAGCACTGACTCCTGCTGGTCCGCCGGCGGGACCGCCGGGGTGCGCTGGCAGCAGGACCGGCAGCCGTGTCCGGGGAGGGGCGGGGTTTGGTTTCTCACTCCGCGCGGAAGGGCTTCTGGAGGCACCGGTGAGTGAGAGAGGCCGAGTTCAGAAGAAGCTGTGGCAGGAAAATGTTTTCTCCGGTATGCTGTTAAATACCGGGCCTGCTACAGGTATTTTTAATTTAAAACCTTACAGTCCTGCAGTATTAAAAAAAAAAATAAATAAAAAGGACATGAAAGAACTTTCAACTGCTTTTGTATTTGCTGTCTATAGTTCTGGAGCACGCACACCAGTTCACCTTCGTGTTTTACTTGTTGCACATGCCTATGATTTTTCCCCCTCGGGCAGAAAATGAAACCCTGACCCTCTGCATTTGCTTGAGTCTGCATGCATAAGATGTCCTTTGAGGATCATACAAAATTTGCATGTGCAAATTTAAGAATATGCATAAATGTTTTTAAGATAGTTTACTTGCTCACAGTGCATAAGAGAAGGGCACAAGGAGATTCATCAGTTGACAAACAGTACTAGGTATGTACCTAAGTGGCACAAAGAATGATACCTCTGCTTTTAAATCCCTGTCCTAAATAAAAGCTTCCTACTCCCAGAAAATACCACTCCCATTTTTTCGTTTGGTGTAGGTAGTGTTTAAACTTGTTCGCTGTGTTCTGTACCCATGCTGTAAGCTGCAAAACCAGTGTTGCATGAGCACTGTGAAGATCAGAAAAAGCTTTTTAATATATATATATTCATAAAATACAGCCTTCTTGAAGAACTTGCAGAATATGAAGCATTGCAAAATCTTATAAAATCAAGTTCCTAACCTTGTTTCTTGGTCGATACATACCCATTGAGAATGTCATCCAGACAACAAGAAATTCAGATAAATTTATTTTTTGTTTTCTGAACACATTTTTCAAATAGAGCTCTCGAATTCTTCTGACAGTGGACAGTTTTCTAGAGAACAGATGGTTCCCTTTTCCCTCTCGTTAAATCCATATATCATGCACATCATGACATAAATTACCCCCTCAGACAGTTAAAGTCATTATATATGTGTAAATCACTTATTAATCAAGGGAGAGGGAGGACTCAGTGAACTTAAAACCTCCAATTATAATTTTAAAATGGCTCACAGAGCTACATTACAGTCCCACACCTGAGCAGTTTAAATCAAGACTGGGTTTGGTCGTAAACAGACCAAGTGAACTCTTTCATGTATTCTGTTTCTGAAGATCTTAAAGATGTATTTCACGCTACTGCACACTAGCCGATTGGTCCAAGGGGCACACAGAAAATACACACTCATGTTCAGCTGATTTCAATGTTTGGAGCACAGAGCCATTAACATAGGAAATTATGTTTGATTCAGCAGTAGTACCAGAATGTACTATTTGAGGCAAAAACCTAGGAGGTGTTTCTGGACAGAAGAAGTGAGAAAATTAGCCAAGGGAGTAGGGGAAGAAGGGATAGGATCTATACCAGGAACTAATATGAGCCCTGAGGAGCTCAGGAAAGCAAAACAACATTTGAGCTCCATGCTATATAACACCAGCCATGCCTCAAGTATTTCTTGTATCAGGCCAGCCCACAACTTGTGAGAAACATAAGATACTAAATTTTTTTTCCAGATCTATCAGGAAACTGAGCTCCTTTTTACTTCTCTTTACAAGGAAAAACACAGGTCAAGCACTGCAAAGGAAAACTTGCTGACATAAGCTCTCATCACACAAACATTCATGAGCATGTTTAATTCAGGCATGTAAGTACAGGACCAGGGCATAAAGGCATTTTTGTCCATTGCCTGTTTGATGAGGTATCCAGCACAATTCACTGCAGCCATTATGATTCAGTACACTTTCATTAAAACGATCAGTTTTAGCTGAAATCGAGTCTCTTCACTTAGGTCATACAAACAACACACTGAGCACCACAAGGATTTTATATATGGAATGACCTGCATCCATATTCTGACACATCAGCAATGATACTAACTGCCCAAGGGAAATCAGCATATCTGGTTTCTCACTAATTTTTTTGCAGTTTTGCTCATGTTTGCTGACAGTAGCTGAATATGTAGTAAGAGGCATGATAACCTATTTTAGCCATTATCACTCTTACTTACCCATGTGTAGAGATGCAATTTCTGTATCTTATCCATGTGGGCTTCCAGGGGATAAGTGAAAAGTTAAAGCTACAGAGCAACCTCTTCATCATCCTCCTCATGTGAAGACAAACTTCCTGGTGAGCAGAGAAAAGCAGTGAGGTCTAATGAAAGAAGTTTGAAATGAAAACAGAAAGCAACAGCACATATTCTCTGGGCTAAATGTACAACCCTTACCAAGAGTACTGTCCAGCGTGTTTACAGGAAAAATAAGGTGCAACTCCTGCGGCAGCACTGCACTGCTCTGGTTTGACACTCGCTCACTTGTCCATTTATCATTGACCCCAGATGCGTGTAGTCCTTCCAGAGAAGTTCTCCAGTTGTTCAACGTGCTACTGAGAGCTATACTTACCTGTGTCTCCTCCACCCAAAAAGAGGACCAAAGAAACCAATGGAACAAGTCATTTTCACATAGCATTTTACAGCATTCAGAAGCTGAAGTTTGTGTGTTACAAATGTACATGAAATCACATTTCTCACTTCACTAGTGAAGGTTTTGCTTAAAACACACAGATGGATGCTATCCTAACGATTACTCTGGACTCTCTGTTACTACTACACATCACACACATAAGATGTATGTGCATCCACTGCACAGTAACAATCCAAGTAACTGCACAACAACAATCACTGTAAGCATGAATTTATTCATATATTGATCAGTTTTGTATTTCCTCCAAAACTGTAGTGACTTGACATTATACTGTATGCCAGACACATAGCCCTTAAAGTACGACATGCCAGTCAAGACCACTTAAATATAAGAAATGCTAAATTAAGGTAAATATTCAGATCTGTAAAGCATTGATGACAGAAAAAAAAAACCAACAAAACAACCAGAAAAAAACACACACACACCCCCCCCCCAGAAAAAAAAAAAACACACCCAAACTTAAAGGTCCCCAAAGTACATTTGAACAGCTGATTTAATTTATTGGTATTTCTATAGTAGTAAATGCCTTGAGGACCTCTGAATTGACATGGCATGAAGTGAAGATCCATTTTTCTTTTTGTTTGCTCATTTAACAAGACCCTAGAAGGCTGCAGCACTGCAAACACACAATAATTAAGGAAATCATAAGGATCTCTCATTAATGAGGAAAATTTGCTATTAAGTGCACTTTCTCTATCCAATATATAAAGCAAAGCTTTTGGGATGCTTGTTGTAAACTGTAGAGCTAAAATGAGAAACTGCAAAGTCTGCATGCTTCTGTCAAAGCAAGAAAGATTTCTGTCTTTAGCCACTGTTAATTGTACCTAATTTTGTGTGATGTGGTTTTACAAACTCTCTCTCAAGATTTTGACAAGCTAGCTCTACACAAAGAAGAACCAGATGATCCTGTTTTATTTTGCTTATGCTCAGCTTGCTCAGCAGAACTTGAATATATTTTAATACTAAAGAGAACTGAATGGCAAGCTGAAACAATCTAACTCCAGTACTTTAAGTCATGCTGTGACAATTTGGATTTGTACCTTGTGACACCAATCAGCAGAAAAATAGAGGCAATGAAGATCCATGGACATGTAGAAGGTGAGCTTCCTGTGGAGAAAAACATATCCTTTTCAAATAACACTACCTAATGGATAAATTGGCACCTTCCATAGTAAACCAGGATTGAATAGACTCATGCTTAAGCACAGAAGAGACTATTGTCGCCAAACTACTGTACTCTTTCCTACCATGTTAGAAGAGCTTTGTGGTAAGAAAATAATGATGTGCCAAAAACTTCATGGCCAGAGAGCTGGTGCTATGCCGATTTCAAGGCACTAAATACACTGTGATATTCTTGCAAAAGGCAGTTGTTCTGAATACACTTAGTGAAGCATCTTTTATCCCAAGGGTAGGCTGGCCATGCTGACTGGAAAATTACAAGGAACTCTGGTATCAGTCAGGCTGTTGCTGTTGTAAACAACAGCCCTATGCTGTTCAAACACAACAGAAACCATGTTTGCCTGTAGCTATCATCTCTTCTTTTCCTCTCCTGCACTTTCTGAATGCAAGTTTCTCATTGCCAAGAGAGTTACTGTTGCCCATAGGGTTTTTAGACCTCTACACACCATGGAAATATACCTAGGGAGATACTAAACCTAAGCACTGACTTAGGCAAGCCAAACATAGGCTGAGAGGATTCCCCCAGCCAGAACTCCAGACCATTTCTGGGAGGTGATCAGTCACAACCTCATTAAAGTGACACAGATCCAAATTAATATAAACATTTTAACAGGGAGTGTCTTCCACCCATGACAAAAAGAGTTTATGTAGACAAGCCATCAGCAGGAAACTCTGATAGAGAAAACTACTGACTACTCTTACAAAGTTTCTTAAACTCATCACTGTGTACCTTCATTTTAAAAAACTGAGGTCCAATTTTTTTTACAGGTATTTGGGTTTGTCTTCTGATGTCTGGGTATTACAGCCACATTCATGACTGAGATCTCCAGTGCTAACCTTTTAATTCTGTTTCTACGTTAAAGCCGTCATTCTTGTATAGCAAACTCAATTTCTAATATTGTGTAATACTAAAGTAATATCATCTGTAGTATGCAGAAAGATTTCAAGTTTTGAATAATCTGAGAACCTAGAGATTTCCTAATACAGTTTGTACAAAGGATTGCCCTTCCTGGAAAAGCTGTAGCTTGAATACAGATAATAAAGTCATCTGGAGAACATCACCTGTCATCAGCCATTAAGAGATGGGATCGTGATGGGATGCTGTAGGTGTGGGGGGTGGAATGTATCAAAACTGTCAGAGACCATGGGAAGGAGGAAATACAGCAGGCAATTAAGAGTGACCCATCCCTGACTGGTACTTGGAAGATGTTGAAACTGGCAAGGAACAAGGACGTCGGAACTGGAAAGAGGATTTCTAGACCTTTCACCTGATGTAACTGCAAGGCAAACACAGATGTGCTTGGCTAATTGCTTGAAAGCATGTAAATATTGTGTAACCTTTGCAATAAATGATCCAGCTTGCACTCTACCTCTGGGTCCGTGCTTCCATCCTCACAGTAGATAATCAGAAGAAATAAGTTTTCAGTGACTACACTGAAGATCACAGTATCACAGTATCACAGTATGTTAGAGATTGGAAGGGACCTCAAAAGATCATCTAGTCCAATCCCCCTGCCGGAGCAGGAACACCTAGATAAGATTACACAGGAACGTGTCCAGGCGGGTTTTGAATGTCTCCAAAGAAGGAGATTCCACAACCTCCCTGGGCAGCCTGTTCCAGTGTTCCGTCACCCTCACTGAGAAGAAGTTTCTTCTCAGGTTTAAGTGGAACCTCTTGTGCTCCAATTTGTACCCATTACCCCTTGTCCTTTCATTGTTTGCCACTGAGAAGAGCCTGGCTCCATCCTCGTGACACTCCCCCTTTATATATTTATATACACTAATAAGGTCACCCCTTAATCTCCTCTTCTCCAAACTATAGAGACCCAGCTCCCTCAGTCTTTCCTCATAAGGGAGATGCTCCACTCCCTTAATCATCTTAGTTGCCCTGCGCTGGACTCTCTCCAGCAGGTCCCTGTCCTTTTTAAACTGAGGGGCCCAGAACTGGACACAATATTCCAGATGAGGTCTCACCAGGGCAGAGTAGAAGGGAAGGAGGACCTCTCTCGACCTACTAACCACCCCCCTTCTAATACACCCCAGGATGCCATTGGCCTTCTTGGCCACAAGGGCACAGTGTCGGCTCATGGTCACCCTGTCGTCCACCAGGACCCCCAGGTCCCTCTCCCCTACACTGCTCTCTAACAGGTCGTTCCCCAGCCTATACTGGAACCTGGGGTTGTTCCTGCCCAGATACAGGACTCTACACTTTCCCTTGTTATATTTCATCAAGTTATTCCCCGCCCAGCTCTCCAGCCTGTCCAGGTCCCTCTGGATGGCAGCACAGCCTTCTGGCGTGTCGGCCACCCCTCCCAGCTTAGTGTCATCAGCAGACTTGCTGATAGTACACTCAATTCCCTCATCTAAATCGTTGATGAATATATTAAATAATACTGGTCCCAGTACCGACCCTTGAGGCACTCCACTAGATACAGGCCTCCAACTAGACTCCGCCCCATAGACTACAACTCTCTGGCTTCTCTCCTTCAGCCAGTTCACAGTTCACCTCACTACCCGATCATCCAGACCACACTTCCTCAATTTAGCCGCAAGGATGCTGTGGGAGACCGTGTCAAACGCTTTGCTGAAGTCAAGGTAGACCACATCCACTGCTCTGCCGTCATCCATCCACCGTGTTATTTCCTCATAAAAGGCTACGAGATTGTTCAAGCATGACTTCCCCTTGGTGAAGCCATGTTGACTGCCCTTCATAACCCTCTTATCCTTGATATGCCTTAAGATGGCACCAAGGATAAGGTGTTCCATCACTTTCCCAGGAATGGAGGTGAGGCTGACCGGTCTATAGTTACCCGGGTCCTCCTTCTTGCCCTTTTTGAAGACAGGAGTGACATTTGCTTTCCTCCAGTCCTCAGGCACCTCTCCCGTTTCCCAAGACTTGGTAAAGATGATGGAGAGCGATGCCAAAAAGATGCCAAAAGCAAAAGGATTTCAGCAGCTCCCTGCAACTGATCAAGGAAATAACTGGCTCATAATGTATCTTGTAGATTCAGATTCTCACTAAGTGAAAGTACAGACTGAAGCATGTCACCTGTAGCCTGCTGTGACTTCCTTTCAAGTTTTCTTTCTGTACTCAGCGGCTGGAAATGATTCCCTCAAGCTTTTACACCAGTCACTGAATCTGAGCAATGCTGAGCCCGCAGAAGGATTTGTTCAAGGTAAGACTGGAACACTAAATCACCTAATTGATTTCATGCTTATCACATCCCCTTGAATATAGGGAACATTTCTTGCTGCAGAGATGATGAATTCACTCTAATAAAGCATTATGTTCTGCAGTTTTTCAGAAAGTCAGGATGAGCAACAGGAAGATCTGATAAGTTTGCCCCTTTTCTGGGAGATTGCTTGTAAGTGTAGTTACACCTGACTCACATGATTGTGTGTGCATCATTTGATGGCCTTTTATTCTTTCCTGAAAAAAATGTAAATGAGAACTGCATAGGACACAGTCCCTTAATAAACCAAAGAAATTAAAGAACATAGCATGCCTTCAAAAAGGAATTCCTCAGCCCCTAAAGTAATTTGAGAAACTGGATGAGGTAAATAAGAGATTCACAGCATTTTTGAAGTCCTGATACTTCTGCATTTCATATTGTTACAGAGTAAGTCTGACATGGTTTTTGAGAATATAGCAATATTTCCTGTTCTTCATCATTCTGTTTAGCAAACAGTCTAACTTCTTGCTACCCCACTTTTAAGTTCCTTGTTCATGCTAACACTCAGCTGACTGAAAAAAAAAGCTCTATTTCTAGTATAGGAGGAGAAGAAAACACAAGGCAAGGGCAAAAGGAAGGTGGGAGGAGAAACAAACTGAGCTGTTTGTTGTTGGGATGGTAAGAGCTCCAAAGTAAGTATGTAATACAGAGGTGAAAGGCAGAAAAACAAAAGAAACTGTAGGAGGTACATGGCAGAAGAGAAACAAATGGAAGAAAAGTGGAGGGGAAAAGTGTATAAACTGAAAACCAGAAAGAAAATACTGTAAAAATGCTCTAATTGGAAGACGTTTCTGTAGGAGCTGGGCCTGTCAAAGAGGGACAGAAAGACAGGATCAGACTGGGTCATGAAAATGTAAACAGCTTTGCTGGAATTGAAGTGCAAATGCTGCTTGCATAGGTCTTATCATCCAATGTAACATTCTGCCTTGAAGGCAAATGAAGTGTGGTCTAAACACCATGGGTGTTCCTCCTCATTGTCTGCTCACACAGCCCTTCTGTGCTTCTCACAGTCCCAAGCTGGCCTCATTGCCTGGATTCTTACTTAGCTACATGGCGCATCACAGTTTTTAAACATGCACTTCTGGTGTTTCAGGCACATGATGTGTTTCACTATAGTTCCTCCTCACAATGTGGGTTAAACAGCAAGGCATATACTAGTTGCTCCCATAAGGTCTTTTCGGCATTTGCAAGGCTTTGCTTTTTTTATTTTTTATTTTCATCACAGCTGAATGCACAATGCAAAGCAATTGCTGTTCAAGTAAAATATATTTCTGTACCTTGAAAATAAATAATTTTGTCACAGTCCTGGAGGACAGTGCATCCCACATTACATGTTGGTAGGTGATCCTGAATATCTGATTATTAAGTTGTACATCTCTATGAGTAGCATGTTGTATATATTACATACAAATTGACTACAGCATGGACATTCTTCTGTTTTCTAGGACACAAAAGTAGGAATGTTCCTCAGCTAACACAATATGTAAAAAGTACCGCTGTTCTAATACATTCATGTTTTCAAACCCACCACATTACAGAATAGCACAGATTGCCAATATATTGTATAACCACAGATTGACTGATATAGCAGTGCCCCAAGTAAGACACATCATCTGTAAAGAGAAGATTAATGAGATTAAGCCATTTCTTCCCTATTAATACTTCTACAGAAAAGCTTATTCTTTACTATCTGATAGTCTTCTGTATTTGTGATACCAAGTTCACTGCTAATGTTCCCATTGCTGCTAGCACTGAATGATCACAATGAGTTCTTAGTTTGCTTGTTCATGTGTTTTATACCATGTTCATGCTGGTTTGGTAGGGTCTGGGTTCCTAGCATCTTGCTCAATTGTCAGAGGAGCGTACCTGCAATACTATTTTGAGTGGTTGCTTATTTATATCTTCAAGACTGTTAACCCAACTGATGCTTACAGCCAAGTTCTACATCATTCCTTGACTATAATGTTACCGAGTTTACCAATTAAAATTTAAGCCTGATTATATTGTACTTGTCTTCTGCCTGCACCATCAAAAATAATTAATAGATCATTAAAAACTAAGTAAAAGTATTTTATTTAAACTGCTGTCTTTACAGAGTTGTAAAGAAAACCAAGAAGGCAGTATTTACTGCATACTAGTCATTACCAGTGCTTCAGCTCTTTTGTAAAAGGTGTAAGGAGTGGCAGAGAGCTACTTGAAACGATTTTGACCTTTTCAAGAATAATAATTGGGTCTTCCAAAGTAATTTTCATCTACTACTTCAAAGCTTTGAAAAAAGGAATGACACTACTTTGCTTGGTACCAGCCTGATATACAGGATCCCAGTTCAGCAGCAAATTTAAGAAGCTCACCCTCTTCTTGTTGCTTCCTGTATAATCCTTCTGGCCTTGGAGCAATGAAGTTTAGAATTCTGTTAAGCAGAACTTGTACTTGGTAAAGACACCCAGATGCTGATGAGTGGGGGCTGCAGATATGGCCTCTGTGGGGAGAGGATTTGCCTGGCCCACATACAAGCAGTTCCAGCCAGCTCCAATGGACCCATCACTCGGCACAGCTGAGTCCCTCAGCTGAGATGGTGATGGCTCCATAGTAACATATTTAAGAAAGAGACAAAATGCTGCACAGCAGCTGTTGGAGGACTGAGAAAAATATGAGAAACAGCCCTGCAGACACCAATGTCAGTGAAGTATGGGGAGAGAAACTCCAGCAGCTGGAGGGGAGATTCTCCTGCAGAAGGAGGTAGAAGAGTTAGGAGCAAAGGAGAGTAGTTAAATCTGGGAAGATTGGGGGGCAGGGCGGGAGGGGTGGGAAATGTGTCTTAGGTTTGTCTATGTTTCTCACCATCCTACTCTAACTGGTAATGAATTAAACCCATTTTCCCCAAGTCAAGTCTGTTTTGCTCATGACAGTAACTGGTAAGAGATTTCCCTGTCCTTATCTTGATGTGCAAGATTTTCATCTTATTTTCTGCCCGTCTAGTTGAGGAAAGGGAGTAAGAGAGCAGTCAGGTGGGCATCTGGCACTTAGTCAAGGTTGACCTTGGTAATAACTCAGTTATGTCAAAGTGAAACCTCAGGATCAAGGTATCAAACCACAAGTTTGGAAGGGGTCTCAAGAGGTTTCTATGTCAAATTCCCGCTCGAAGCACAATTGCTTAAAAGGCTAGACAAGGTTGCCTCAGGACATTATTCAGGTTTTTAAAACTTCAAAGAATGGAGACTACACATCTTTATACTCCCACACAAGTAAATGACAGCTATCAAGGCAGAAGATTGTTTGCCTCTGTATAAACATGCACAAAACAGCCACCAAATCAGGCACCATCTTAGTTTGCATGAATGTTTGAACATAAGAGGGCTCTCTGACCACAGAGTATTCACTTCATAAGATTCTTCAACAGAGGTATGTTTGATGCCTTTTAGACAAGCCTTATACAATGTTAATAATTTGGCCATAATCGCAAAGAAAACTCATTAACAGTGTGAGCTTTCATTTTACCTTCTACAAGAATGTGAGCTCTAAGTTCATGGAGGAAATCTGAGCAGCTGAACTGTTACAGGGATTTGAAGTTATTCAAACACCTGCAAAGTTAGCTACAATCTGCACAGCATTTGTGGGATTATCCTGTATATTTCTTAACAGGCAGAGGCATATCATGTAAAAGAACACTGAGAAGTTATCCAGTTATAATTAAATTATTATCCTTGTTGAGAATTTGATTGCTGCTTAGTCAGATATCCAGCTTACTTGGAACACTTAGAAAAGTTCCTCCATACAAGTGTTTTTTCAGGATGTCCCTCCATGGCATCAGCTTGCTTAAAACAGCTTTGCTTTAATGAAGAATCTTTTTGTTTTTTGTCTTCCTCAAGGGCTGGATGTATTTACAGGACCACTACCATCTAGAGAAGAGCTAACCAGAAAACACAATCCTTGAAGTCAACCTAGCGCCACAATCCACCTTGTGAAGGCTGGCTTTAGATAAGGTAATAACCGCTTATCAGGCTCAATCATAATGAATTTAGGGTTTAAACTCATGGCCAGAGAAGCCAATGATTCCTTACGTGTGGAACTGGTTCATAACATCTAAAGCCATTTCTAATGCTTGCAGCTGATCTTGCCTGAACTGCTGTTACACCTCCTGATATTTCATTACTCAGCCTTCTGAAGGGCAGCATGTGCTCAATACTTTACTACAGATAAGACAGTAGTTACTCACTTTGCAGAGGGTATGTTATGACACAGTATCAGCAGCAAAACAGTAAATTAGGCCATTTCTGTTCCTATGTTTTTCCTCCCTAATAAGGCAAATTCAGTAAAAGTGTGTTTTGCTAGCTATGACACTTTCAGGTAGGTCTGATTGTTCCAGGTCACTCTCCCACACATTGCTTTGTCTGAAATGAGTGCATAAATATTGCTTTCAAACAAATATGATTTCTAAATTAAGAATGTTGTTTCTCAGGAGTCTCCTGGGGCTCTTCATTCAGCAGCAGCCTAGAAAGAGGCTCATGATTATGAGGGTTGGTTTTTCATATGCCATTTGGAAATTATACTCCCTTTTTTCTGCTGTGGTGTTAATCAGCTGGCAGAGAAGATCCTAGGAGCAGCAAGGTGCCTATTGCTCTTCTTGCCTCTCCAGTGACCTGTGTGAGTGGTTAAAAGAATAATTACTGATTTATATGGCAAAGTCTTTGAGCCATGGCTTATAAAAACTGTTGTTTTCTTCACAGGATGAGTTTCTTCTGTCATCCACCATCAGTTACTACTGCCTCCAGCACCAGGATCTGCTGCACACTAATTTGCCTTCAAGTTTCTTTTTCCTTATGTGTCCATTATTTCCCATTATAATACTAAATCAAAGGCTTTTGAACACCTTGAAAGAAATCCAAAGGCAACACCAAAGTCAGAGGTGCAGGAGAAGACTGAATGGTAAATGCCAATAAACTATATTAGTAATTCTGGAAGCTGATTTCATTAACATAGATTTCTAATAGCATTTATAGCATGTCTAATGAAGCCTTCTGACACTCTGCATCTCATTCCCGGTTGTTATATAGTTCTTAATTATGCCACTATAATGAAAATAGAGTATGCCACCATACTTATGCCATTAGAAAACAAGAATTGTGTGTTTTCTTCCTTTTCCATGAAAGCTGGAAAATGGCTCCAAATAAATGTCCAAGCCACAAGCAGCCCGTTTCTCAAGAAGAATGGTGTGGGAAATGGTGTCACAGACTTTACTAAAGTCCAGGTAAACAACATCCACAGCCTCTCCCTCATCCACGAAACAGTTCCCTTGGCATAGAAGGAGATCTGGTTAGTCCAGCAGGACCTGCCTTTCATAACCCATGCTGACTGGGCCTGATCACCTGGTTGGCCTGTCCTGGCCATGTGGCAGCCCTTCAAGATGATCCACTCCATAGCCTTCAACAATACTGAGGTTGGACTGACAGGCCTGTCGTTTTCTGGATCCTCCTTTTGGCCCTTCTGGTAGATGGGTGTCACATTTGCTAACTTCCTGTCAACTGGAACCTCCCCAGTGAACCAGAATTGTTGAAAGTGGCTCATTGAGTACTTTTACCTGCTCTGTCAGTAGCCTTGGTTGGATCCCATCTAACCCATAGACTTGTGTGTATCTAAGTGGTGTAGCAGGTTGATCACCATTTCCACTTGGATTATGGTAGCTTCCTTCTGCTCTCTCCATCACTGTGTTCCACCTCAGGGAACTAAGTACTTGGAGAACAGCTGGTCTTACTATTAAAGACTAAGGCAAAGAAAGCATCAAGTCCCTCAGGATTTTCCTCAGCCTTTTGTCACTATGTTTCCCCCTATATCCAATAAAGGATGTAGATTCTCCTTAGCTCTCCTTTTGTTGTTCACGCATTTATAGAAACATTATTTATAGTCTTCTATTAAGTAGCTACATTAAGTTTTAGTTGGGCTTTGGCCCTTCTCTTTGGCCCTTCTCATTTTCTCCCTGCATCAACTTATGACATCTTCATAGTCTTCCTGAGTTGCCTGTCCCTTCTTCCAAAGGTCATAACCTTTTTTCCTGAGCCAAGATGGTCTGTCACAGCTGAGTTAAATGCCAAAAGCAACTGACAAGAAGACAGTGTCACCTTCCCAACTAAAGGACATTACGAAAATGAAAATCTAATCTAGAAAGAGATTTTTCCTTTGCTTGTCATGTTAACACCACATTGTTTCACTGTACTTCAAAGAGACCAGCCGCACTTTCCAAGGAAGTTTGTGGTTCCAAGGCCTAGTTCCCAGTCTCAGCTGCTAGGCTGACAGGCATTTGCTTTTGTTCAGTAATTTTCTTCTTCTTACCAGGCTGCCTTTATGTAGATAGACGGAAGCACTGGGCAGTCATTAAAGACATAAAACTTAACAAATCCAAATGCACCTGGGGTGGAGAAATACTGGGCACAAGTATAAACTGGGAGCAGAGTGGCTGTGGAACAGCCCTGCAGGAAGGGATCTGGGGAGCTGGCTGACAGCAGCTCAGTGTCAGTCAGCAGTGTGCCCTGGCACCCAAGAGGGCAAACTGCCTCCTGGGGTGCATCACACGGAGCATGGCCAGCAGTCACAAGAGGGGATTATTCTGCTGTGTTCAGTGCCGGTACAGCTTCACCTTGGGTGCTGTGTGCAGTGCTGGGCCCCACAGTTGAAGAAGGATGCGGAGTCCTGGAATGTGTCCAGAGGAGGGCACAAAGCTGGTGGAGGGGATGGAAGGCAGGTACTGTGAGGAGCGGCTGAGGACTCTGGGTTTGTCTGGTTTGGAGACAAGGAGGCTGAGGGGTGACCTCACTGTTCTCTGCAGCTTGCTGAGAAGGGGAAGTGGAGAGGGAGGGGCTGAGCTCTGACTCCTGGAACCCAGTGACAGGACATGTGAGAAGTATTCTATTCTATTCTATTCTGTTTTATTCTATTCTATGATTGCCTTTCAAAAGCCCTAGAACATGACACAGAATTCCCAATCTATTTTAAGATTTTGTAAATAACTTCATAGAATTACAT